CATCATTAACTGACTTCTGTGGAAAACCTCTAACTAATCAAGAAGGCGTGTTTGTCTGGACCTTACCTTCAGTCCACCATGAAAGAACAAGCACTAACAGAAGAAGAATATCCATATTTAATATGTCAGTCCAGCCAGTCAACTGTTGAATGGCAGAAAAGCCTTTAAAAAGAAAAAAACATTGATTATATGCACCACCTTCACATATTTATCATCTGTTCTTGTTTTTCTTTGGAGAGGATCGTGAGGCATCTGTCTTTTAAATCTTTTGGCTTGCTTCACGTTGTCAGAAAGCGTCTATTTATCTGATTTCTTTATTCTCATTTTAACAAGAGGGGCAAGTATGTTTTACTATGGACCAGGTTGGTTTGGACAGCTATTTTTGTTAATAAATAAATACATCATTTGAAAACTTTTTTTGTGTGTTTGCTCAGATTGTATTTGTCTGACAATCAGTTTTCTTTTTTATCTGAAACATTTCAAGTGTGACAAAAAAACAAAACAGAAAAACAGCAGAAAACTGTAATGGGGTATGCAGATTTTTTGTATTTTGTTTTACAACCTACCATCTTTGGGTATAATCTCATAGTAAAAGTTCCAGATTGATGAAATCTGGTGCAAAAATTTGCAGAAGCTCCAATCCATTCCATAGTATTTAGCTTGGGCATGTGTCTTTTTCTGAGTTCAGAAGCTTCGTAAGACTAAGTAGGAAAAGAAGACATGACAAAATATCTGTCAGACCAGGCCATTGATGGTCCCACCAATAACTATCAGATGAAATTTTCATCAAGTTTCCACATTATGTTCTTCATAATAATGAAGACAACAATGTTGGGGTCCATGAAATGTATTTAGCTTTCTGTTTATTTATTTATTTATTTATTTGCGCTCGTGTTTAGGAGTCAGAATAGTTACAAAACAATCACCACCAGAGGCTTCCGCCATCAAAAATGCCCTTAAAATGACTTAATGACTCCTTGACAGCCCAGTCTTTCTTGCCTAACTTGTTTACATCTGCAGGAAGTGTATTTGCATAATGCCTCTACAGTAACTGAGTCTGGCACAGTCGCAAACAAACAATGAGCAGCTGCTTCACACTCCACTGTTTATAACTAATCTGTGCCAGCAGGGCTTTCATGAAAGAAGTCTCAGTGCTCTTATACACGAAAGCAACATCAGGGACTAGCAGCACAATTACAGAGCCTTAAAATCTCTACTCGTTTCATCGATATCTGCTGGAAAACAACGCTGCACTCGACTTCCGAGATCTAGCTTTGATACACCTGTCCAGAGTGACTAAATATGACAGAGTAGAATAGATTCAGCTTAAATATTTATCAGTTTTCTACCATAGACATTTATTTTAATATTTTTGGATTCAAAGCCCGTGCTTCACTTAAAAACAAAACTGTTTTAAAACATTTTTACAGCATACATCTTTTTAAAAATTGTGCAACAATCATACATCGAAAAGGAACAGTGGTACTGGCCACTTTGGCAGTGGAAAATGTTTTGCAATTTGAAAATGATGGTGACTTCTTTAGGAATGTTTAAGCTTTTTGAAATTGTACATATCTGCAGTCGGATTCTTTGAGTCATTTTGAGACGCTTTCTTTCAGTAGAGATATCCTGCTTTAGGGTTAAAAATGGATTATTAAGAGATTTACTTGGCAGCACGCACTGCTTGAGCTTTAAATTTCTTCAACACTTTGTTTAAACCTTCTTTTTAAATTGTGTCTGAGGAAAACTGTACGACTGGTGTTTTTGTATAATGCATGAAAACGCGGCGGCAATGTGAAACTCCAGGGTAATTTCCATAATCATTATCACAACTCCCAACGCCTTGTTTCAGCACATCTGAGGTTTCCAGGCTGTGGTTAAATTTTTACTGAAGAATAAATGCGAAATAAAAATAACTTCTGAAGCTCGGCTGATTTAAATACTAAAGGTTAAGAAGTGGGGATTTCTGCAGATAGCATCTTTTAGATCTAATGCAAACCTGATGATGCACAGGTTTCGTGAAATTTATAAGCTTACTTATTTGGGAGATTGAGTAGAATATAAGAATAAGAAAATAACCCAACATGAATGCTCTTAAAGCTCCACATAAGAGAATTTGGTTGCAGGTCTTTCTTACTCATGGATCAAATCCCGATTGAACACGTTGAAATGGCTACAAAAACTAAACAATATTTGAATTACAGACACGGTGAACAAGTGATGTAGCATGCTAAGACATTAGCACATTAATACAAAACATGTATTTGTTCTTTATTGGGAACAGGCTTTAGGCAAATCTGAACAGCATTTATATTAAGTATAAAAATATATGTTTCACTTTTTCTCACAAAATGTTACTTTAAATATTGCAAAATTGCACTTTTACAAAGGTATGGAACTGTCAGAAAAATAAATCATCTTGTTTCCTAAAAGAATATTATGTGAAACCTGAGAAACTTTTCTGCATTTTTCTCACCTTGTTTGATAAGCAAGCTATACAAACAATCTTTTCCTGTGAAATTTCTTCACAAGTGTTATGCACCATTTTTAGCATTGGTCAGTGAACCTGCAGCTGTTATACTTACTTTAAATTCAAGTCACAGTATTACCACAAATTGAAAAATGTACCATTTAACTGAAACAAAATAATCAAAGTCTATCACGGTCCCATGCCTGACATATGTGTTTCTAAGTTATTTCTAATTTACATTTTAACAATAAAATGAAAGTATATTGAACAATAATCATCCATAAACTCTGCTTCTTTTCTTTGTCTTACCTCAGTCTGGTGTTCCTGTGCATAAACACACTAAGTGGATGCATATCAACCATGCCGTTTCTTCTTCATACCTGGTGTTCGGTGATCTCATCCAAAACTGTTCTGTTAAACATTACTGAGCTTTGGGAACTTTGTCCCATGAGACACACACAAGCACACACACACATAGAGACTCTGCAAACACAATCCACTGATAGTACTGAATCTGTGAGTTGATTTACATGTTTGGGTAAAATGTCGACCAGAGATAAATTTTTCAACTTTGCTGTGGTAGGCATTTTTCTTGGAGCCCAGAGTTATCAGGGTTCAATTTAGCACCTAATAATAAACATGTGGATCATATTTTTTCATTTGTTCTGTTAGGAATATGTAAATGAGATGATTGAGTGGCTGTCTGTACATTTTTTGTCTAAAGTAGCTTAAACTAAACGGATGTTAAAAAAAAATAATGCATTTGTAGCAGGATGTTTGGGACAATGCTGATGTTGTGGATCATTACAATGCATATTTCTGTGCCTGTTTTTATATGCTTTGAATTAATTTACAGGGAATATATTTTATTCATTCACTTATCTTCCATGCCACCTTTAAGCCTGTGCAGGATCACAGCAGGAGAGCACTTGCCAATCACCAGCGATCAACCTTTTAAAACACAGACAATAACCACACAGTCACACACTCACACCTGGGATCAATTTATAATTTTCAATTAACTGGAGTACCCAGAACCCAGACATGCATGGGGGCAAACCTGCAAACTAAACACAATGAGATTCAGAATTAAACACTGGCTTGTAATGGTTTTAAAGCTGTCATGATGGATATATTTTTCTTATGACCATTTGTTTAGTGCAATGCTTTGGTATCAGTATAAATGGGAGGCTTTTTCTAGAGGGATAATATTTGCTCACAGTTTTGCTTTTACTTTCATATCAACACACTGTAGCATACACAATTAGATCACCACATAACCCATCTGACACATGAGCCGGACAATCTGCCACATAAGTATCACAGTTTTCACATACCCTGCATACTGAACAAATGCCCCACCTCCAGTGGAAAAACAAGCTAACAAAATAATGCAGGTGCATTTAAAATTTTGTGTTTGGCTAAAAGTGATCATACACCTTGATGGCGCTCGTAGGTCACTAAAATCTAATTTCCAGATGTTCAGTTAAGCCTTTAACTGAAAGAAAAGCAATGTACCCAGTCATAAAACAGCAGAACACTGTGAACTTCACCACATTAGTCTCAGTATAGATAAACTTTGAGCACATCTTTCAAAAAGACAAAACTTTAAGTTCCTCCAAATGTCTTTAATATCCTTATGGCCAGACCAACATCAGAGTTGTTTTGTAAACGTCCAGCTTTCATAGTGGTAGTAGGGTATATTGTGTCCTTTAAAACAGTATTTTCACATCATGATTAAGCATCATAAAGTGCAAATAAAGCCTCAAATTCAACATTTTGTGTAAATTCAATGTATACAGAAATTGCGTCTTTAAACTGATAATGGAATGGTATTGTTTTTTCTTTATTTTTATGGCATAAAACAAATAAAAAGTTTGGTCTTTTATCATGTTGGTAGGATTCTGAAACAGTATTTAATGAAGTGATATAAAAAGATTCAGAACCACCTATTTAAGAACTCAAAATAAAACAACATGAAGCTTATCAGTCTAAAATTGTTTATTTTTCTGTTGTTTCCAGGTCTTAGTTACACGTTTCACTCTTTGTTCAACAAAGTGCATTGATTAGTCAGGAGTATGGGTAGACAGGTACTTGTAAAAATGGTAGATAGTCTGAATCTTGCAGCATTTGTTCTTCCTTCTGGGGAGCATTAAAAGTCTCTTAAAGCATTCAAGTGATAAAAGGAGGAAGTAAGGAACAACGTTGGAATAACACAGCAGAACATTTACAAGTGAGACAGCCAGTAGTTTTTTTTTTGTTTTTTTTAAAGGTCACCTCCTTCTAAGGTTAGAAAATTACAATTGCTAAAAGAAAAGCATGAGAAATGTGGTTAAACTGAAGAAATCTGCATTTTATAAACGCTGCTAATTACAAACACCATTCTGCTCTTCTGCAAAATTTCATTATGATTTGTGTTTGTATGCGAAATATAAGAACGAAGTCAAAATTGCAGTCAAAAGGATAGTTTCATGTGGTGCATGGGTCAAATACGTGACAGATGGTTTCCAGGAGAATCCAGTGCAGAATCGGTGGGCGGAGTTGCTGGCCAACAAGTTTGAGGGGACGGTGGGACAAACGTCTGAGGTTAGGCAGAGATGGAATAGGGAGCTCCTTCGGGCTGGTAAATAAGACAAACAGATAAAAGAGAAACCAGGTCACACATTTTCCAGTGGTCTGACCATACTGCCACCTCTAAGCCTGGGCCACCCTGCGTGCCCACTCCTCCAGGACCACGTCTGAAAGCTCACTTAGCAGCTTGTTCTAACAAGGCGTGACAGAGGGTTTGCGGGCGTGGAGAGACAGCCAAAGAGAGGAAACACCGGATGCCTGCTTCTCGGCTTTTCCTGCAGCCCAAACATGCAGAGCGGAAGCAGAAGACGTGCTTTAAAGATTAGGACGATTATCACCACAACCATCACGATCCCCATTAAGATCATCACACTCTTTGCCACTCCCTCAGAGGATAAAAACGGGTAGTGCGAAATGTTTTCGTTGTGGCCCAATCTGATCTCCCAGCACAGTATGCTCACTGAAGCTGATCACAGATGGAGCCAGTCATAAGAGGCTGCTGCATTTTCTTTTTTTTATTTTTATGGATGAGGTCTTTAAACTCCTAGAAGTACTGAGGCGATATGGAGCAAAGAATCGACTGCACTGAGAGGTAAATGTTAGTTTCTTCTGAGTTTTAGTGTAAAAATAGTAAAACACGCCACTGCACTGCAGAGACTCTTGTGCTGCTGCGGCTGAGGCAGGCTGATTTATAGGTGTAATTTTGCTTTTTGCCTTTTTAAAGAGCAGGGTCAAAAAAGAAAAACAAACTTCAAAGAGATTTGAGGTTTTAATTAATGTGGTTGAAATAAACGCCAAATGATAAAGTGAAATGAAAAGAGGATCACCAGTTTGTCAGTCCCAACAATGCTGCACTGCCCTCCAGTGGTGAAACACAGCCTGTAAAACAAATCAGTAAAAGATGGCAAAGTGCTTTACCAGGACAGTAGATGCTCTTCATCTTGACATCACTGTAACTACTCAGCCTCCTCTTCTCCCTGGGAAAAACAAACAAAAAAAAGGGTCTTGGTTTTCAACATGAACACAAATCGTGAAAGATGGCAAGAGGTATTAAAATATTTCCCCAAAACAGAATACATAAGCATATTTTTCAAATAATTTCTTTAATGGTGAATATAATAGGAAACTTTAACATTCCTGACGACACAGAATCTGTTATTTATTGTGTACTCTACTGAAGCTGCCATGGTCAAACCCTATTCTGAGGGCGTTCTTTGGTCTTCGTGATGCTGTTTGTTCTCGCATGTTCTCCAGCAAACGTCTGAGGCATTTACAAACAACCATACTCAAATTGAGATTAAATTACACTCAGGTGGACTTCATTTACAAGTAGGTTGACCCTTGTAGGTATTTTGTTTTCCCTGAATCTTATTTAGGGGCATCAATATAAGGAGGTTGAATACAAACACACTACATTGTGCTGATCCATCATATAAAATCAAAATAAAGTGCATAAAGGTTTGTGGCTTTAAAGTGACACAATCTGTACAAGTTCAAGAAGTATTAATGTCTTGCCAGGTGCTGTAGATTAAAGAGTTAGTGTTTTTTTTTAGATTAAAAATAGCAGCATTGGCTCGGCTTGACAGAAAAGGGGTCTACAATTTTGTCTTACATAGGCTCTCCACCTACATTCTTAGATCCCATTAAACTAGAAAATATCTCTTGAAAAAAAATATATCTTGATCTTAAGACTATTTGCAAAGAATGGAAATTACCAGCAGTTCTATCTGGGTTTATTTCAACTCTTCTTCTTCTCCATTTTGACACATTAATAAGAAATATGTGGTGGGGGGTTGTGTACAGTAACATCCTGGTTCAAGGGGCCTTCACTTGTTAGTGGTTGAAGAGTCAGAGAGTTAAAAACGGGGAAGACGTAATCCGAGAAACGTGCAGTGTTTGGCAGGGTGATGGGAGAAAATACTTTTCAGTGTTGCTGACAGGGATTCAACTATAAAAACGGTCCAAATCAATTGGTAAAACAAGTGAATTATCCATTGTGAAATGTTTCCTCTTTGTTGTCCTCCAAGCATTGTGCAGTAACACTATGTGCTCAATCTCCTGTGAAAACTGTCACATTCACTTTGCACTCGCTTTGTTTGGAGAGCTCTTGGCAAAGAGAAGAAGAGGTCATGACTTATTTCAAAAGCAAAAATCCTGGAAAGTCTGTGCACCCAACCAAAAAACCCACATATCCGAGTTATTCTGTTTTGCACTCAGGCAGATGCAAAGGACATTTTTAAAAAAATGCCCAAGTTGTTCATAAAAACAAGAAGTCACAACATCCTGGCAGACTAGAACAAAGTGCCTCTGTAGATGTTTTACAGGTCTCTGCATCACTGAGCATGTATTGCGTTGTGTCATCCCTTAAGTATTGCACATGAATAAGAACCTGCTGCAACACTCCACATTCGTGCTTTGTGTACAAATGTGTGGCATGACATACAGCCGACTTGGGGAAAAACAACAGTTTTAGTTTTGTTTGTGATCGGATCGTGCAGAAAACTCCCAATCTCAAGTATGATTCACACCGTGCCAAGCAGGGAGGGAAATAATCCAAACATATACCTCTTGTAATCCTGCATCTTCTTCTTCTTCCTACAGAAGATGAAATCAAGATAAGTCAAGTTTTAAAGTGTCAATAAGCAGTGAGATACTGGTCCATATAGTATTGCTCTTTCTATCATAACACCACTTCCACCTTAGGAATTAAGACAAATACATGAATCATGCTGCAAACCATTAGACACTTCCATGGGAAACTATGATAAAAGCAGCATGCAGCACACAAATACAAAAAAGAAAGAAAAAAGGAAGAAATACTAAGGTTTTCAGAGGCTAAAAGGTGTGACACTACAAACCACACCACGTCTACCTCACTGCCTTGTTCTTCTTGGTCCTGCTGGGAAGGTGGGACAAAGACAGAGACAGAAAGGGAGGAGCAGAGAATGCAAAGCAGTGAAGCAATGGAAGCTCAGGCTGGAATGTCGAAGAAGAGCAAAGCATTGTCCACCTGGCATTTAGAACGATGAAATGTGTATATTCTGAATCGTTGTCCAGCAATAGACATTGGACAGCGCAGTGCATTATAAAATGATGTATGAAATACTTTACTGTCTGTCTGACTGAGTTCTCTGTTCAAGTTGAGGAATGTGTTGTGGGGACACTTTAGACTGACTTATCGTACATCCTATTTGTGATCAGAAGCTCCAAGACAAAACTATTGAAACACCTGCTGAAGTCAACATTTTCCATCAGAAAGTCAAAGATTTCACACCATCAGCATAGACAGATGATGGGTGAAGTAAAAACAAATTGGTTACACTTGTGACTCCATGATAACATTCAGTTCATAAAGATTTTTCAATTTGGGACGCCACATTAAACTTTCGTGCAGCCTGGCAGACCAAACCACGGTTAAAAAGAGACTTGCAACACACTCCGCTGCTTCAGAAAACTAAAAAAACTCCAGACTACCCAACTATTTTAAGAGACATTCTCTTAAAGGGATTGTGTTAAAAGACCATGAAAGTATATTGATATTTGAAACCTACATGGTTTTGCAAAAATGTTCATACCCCTTTAACATTATTTCACTTTACATTTATGCACTGTAATGTACTTTATTGAGATTTTATATCATAGACAAAGTAGCACATACTATAAATGTGACATAAAAGGCAAAAGAGAGATTAATAAGGATAACATATCATATTTTTTATATTTTTGTTGAAAGTCACATATCCTTTTCCATTTCCATTTATCTTGACACTGTGCACAGAGAGGAAGAAGATAGGGAAAAATCTCCCAACCTGTCAGAAAACATTAGCAAACAGTGTCTTCCTGAGGTCAGTGAGTATCCATAAAAACATTCAGATGCCATCTACCTGCCAATGAGTTGTTTTAAAGCTGCTGCCATCACAAATGTAAACAGTTAAATATTTTCTAAGTTCTGTTGGAAATTATACTGGAACTGTGTGCTTGGGTCAAATGAAACTAAGATTGAGCCTTTCTGTAATTTCCTATGCTTACTGTTAGACATGAAAGAGGATCTGCGATGCTGTGAGCTTGTTTCTCTTCTAAAAGTCGTAGCGAACGCTGTTGAACTCTTTGCAATACCAAATTTTGATTAAAATCTTGTGGACTCCTCAAAAAGTATGAAATGGGTCAGCACTGGGTCTTTCAGTTGTGTAATGACTCAAAACACAGATCGAAATCAACAAAGTAAAGATTCCCAGTCATAAAACTTGGTTTTGTCTTTGGAGATCTCAGTCACTGGACCTAAATCTGATAGAAAACCTGTGGGGTGAGCTGAACACTCCTCTCTTCAGCATAACAGAGGACCAGGGACTCTAGATGACCAAGAGAGACTGTGCAAAGACTAATCAGCAAAAATTCCTCTCTCTCTGCGGTCCAACCTTGATAAATGTTACACAAGTAAAAGTGTTATGGTTTTGGGGGAAAAAAAGACATGTCAAATTACCAGCATAGGTGTTAATAAGTGTATCACTGTTAATTTAGTAAGAAACCTAAATGTGTGAAATTATTTTACTGCTATGAAAAAAAAAAATTCTAAGGCTTTATGCACATTTTCACCAGTGGTGAGAAAAAAGCCGCAGGATGCAGCAGTAGGAGGAGTCAGAGGGCGCAGCAACATGACAACAAGGACAAGATGATAAAAACAAGACAGGTTGAAGAAATGTTAAAAAATATATATATATATATGTGTGTGTGTGTGTGTGTGTGTGTATGCATGTATGCATGTATGTGAATCTACCTCAAGCTGTTGTAGTTCTTCTTCCTCCTAAAAGAAATAACATAGCAGCCAGATCAGCAAGCTGTGTGGGGAGCAAAAAGAGAAGCACATGCATACACTATAAGGACATCTGTGGAAAAGGAAACTAAAGGGGATGTTTGAAGGTATCAGGATGCAGCTACAGCTAGGAGGAAACCAAGATGTTAGCTGAAAGGGAACCCATTGGAAGAGGAAGAGTTGATGTGAGGAAACTGAAGAGTTTAATGATGAGTAGGATCAACAACAACAACAACAACAAAAAATACACATCCTTCACAATCCCACCCTCAACAATGTAGAATTGTCTCATCTGAACACCATCAGGCAAGGCTGATGGCTTCATGGAGGAACCGTGGATGATCTACCAAACTACAGAAGATTACTGACGCACAGTTACCTGTGAGTGCAGCTCCTCTTCCTCCTATAAGGAGCCAACCAACAAGAGATGGACAATAACACAAAGAAGCAGTCAAAGGTCTTACAGCTTTCACGAGTAGTACAATGGCAGGAACATGGGCAGAAAATGCTTTAAATGTGTGATATCAGGCAGGTGACTGGAACATCACTGTTCTGAAATATGAGTTAATCAACTAATGGACACAAAACATCTGTGTGAATAGTATATCTAAGAATGTCCAAGTCATTCAGTTTGATTGTGTTACCATGTTCCTCCCATTAAAACTAACTGATCCTTCACTAAGCACACCTTAATTTTATTCAGTTCAATCAGTTTATTCATGTATTACCAATCATGTCAGACTATATATCCAATTAACCTAGATAACAGTAAATCCATTCATAAGACATGATACCCAGAGTTATTTCTTTGAGTTATTTGAAAAAAGAATATCTGAAAACTAATGAGGTGAAGGCCTCTTGAAGCTCAAACTGAGAATCAGAAGGCAAGAAAAGAGGATTTAAGTGACTCTGATCATTGCATGGTTGTTATTGACAGATGGACTGCTCTGAGTAATTCAGAAACTGCTGATATTGATGTGCAACCATGTGCAACCAGTAAATGGCCCCAAAAAGAAAAAAACAAAAAACATCTGATTCATAGGAGGGGAACATAAACTCAAATAACTTCTTGTTATAACCACTAGATTATTATCTACGCAGATGATACACAGGTCTACATTAGAATGTCACTCCAAGTCAATCCAACCACTGAACAGATGCTTAGAACAAAGCAATGTGTGAATGTGTCATAACTTTCACCAGCTGAACAGAAACAAAATTGGAGTTATCTTCAGACCAAACCAGGAACTACCTAGTGTCAGCACACAACTTCAGTTATTAAACATAAAACTACAGGTCAGTCCTGAAATCTGGGTGTAGTGATGGACTCAGACCTGAGCCTTCAGAGACACAAAGTCAGCCTGTCATTTGAAGAACATTTCTAGAATTAAAGGACTAGTGTGCCAGCAAGACCTAGGGAAACTCATCCATGCATTTATCTTTAATCACATTGATCACAGCTTAAAAAATAATACTCAGACAGCTGCATGTGATCCAGAATGCTGCCACGTTCTCACTAAGACAAAGAAAACAGAGCACATCTATACCGACTCCCTGTAGCTCAGAGAATAAACTTTAAAATACCTTTGTTACATTATAAAGCACTGAATGGCTTAGCACCAAAAATACATGAAAAAGGTCTGTTGTCATATCAGTCTTCCAGACCATTCAGGTCTTCTGGTTTTATGTCTGCATATCAAAATTACCAGAAAACCCTCATGTGCAGCTCATGTCAGTAACTTTCACAATACCAAACAGGTGGAGAGATGGTGACAGGTATGAACACACAGGATTACAAGCAGCAACAACTGCTAAGAATGAAAACACTTAATAAAGTAGCAACTTAATCCTTATGTGGAGACATTGTGCGCCTGCACTACCTAAAATAAAATCCCTCAATAAAGCCATTTTAGACAGGATTTCAAAAAAATAAAAGTGATTTTCTTCAATTACGTAATACTTTTACTTTAGGTAATACCAATCTATAGTTTGCCATGCTTCAAAGGGAAACCAGAAGAAACCAGAAGCCCTGATGCAACAAATATATGACTGAACTCTGTGTAATTAATCCTTTTAGGGAAAGTTGAACAAAAAATGTCTAATTCACGCAACCCAAAACACTACATTTGTAAGCATGAACTGTTTATTCCTCTAAATAATAATAGAAAAAAAAAACTTACTTGCTCTTCATCCTCTTCTTGTGCTTCCTATAACAAGAGACAGGAAGAGATCTCTTAAGTTTTCACATAGTGTACAAAATATGCATCAGTACTTAGAAACGTCAGCATTCACAGATTAACATCATGAAATAAGTTAGAGTGGCTGGGTTTAGGATTGTCCTGACACACCTTAACAAGAACAGTTAATGGTGGATGTTTTGCAGGTTATTATGAACTGTAACACAACAGTTAGCTAATAGGTAGCATGAGATATAAAAAAAATAAGCACAAAAAGAAACCTGAAAAAAGAAGGAGAGGAAGTATTAAGAGTCCATTGATGCTGCAGAGGGATTTAAGACCACACTTTGGCTCGTTAGTGGAAGAGGGAGAGATTTTAGGATGAGGATGATGGTAGGTAAATGTTAAGTAAAAAGAGGACGTTAATGTCAACATAAAATGAGACACTCCAGGAATGACAAGAAGGCATGGGATAGAGAGGGAATTCAATCACTCCGGGGTTATGGAGGTGGAAAACTGATGAGGAGCTGGACTTGAGTTATATGGCAATTACTGTCTCTTCAGTGACCTCATCTGTTCCTTCCTCTGCAGCCGCCTCCTCTTCCTCTCCCTCTCCCCTTGATGTTTCTAGTTCGGTGGCTTCATCATCTGCTCGTCCACCCTCTCCTTCTTCCTCATCACCTGCCTGTCCCTCCTCCTCTCCTTCTTGTGCATCCCCATTATGCTTCTAAGAGGTGAAATAAGTAATCAAGTAAAACAAGAAATGTAATCAAAGATAAATAAATGAAAACAGGGAGTAGGAGGAAAAAAAAAAGAGACTGTTTCGACATGATTACAACGGCACACTCCTCAGATGGAGATGTTAGTCTTGCAAAAAGGAATCCAGTAATTCATTAAAATGGAAGTGATGGTTTCAAAGGGACAGAAAAACAGAGTTGAAATAAGAACTAGTTTGCTGCAGCATTCTAAAGATTCATGCAACACTAACATTATTTGAGGTCATGGGAGGGATTAAGACTCTGTTCAAGTCATCAGCTAGTGATGGAAAGGAAGTTATTAATTATATCAGACAAAGACTATGAAGAGGTGTGGCACAGTTATAGAAAAAGCATGATGGGAAAATGGAAACATATTGTCAGCTTTACTACTGAGTCGTCAGGATTTTCCTCTGCATGGGTTCCGTTTTGCATAATGTGCTCCTTCTCAGCCTGCAATGCTTCCTGCATCAAGGAGGTTCAACACAAATCAACTGTAGTGAATTAAAAACAACAGATTTCAAACCCCAAGGTTTTAATAAAATCTATTTATAATATCTACTTCTGGATATGATGTGAGATACACACACACACACGCGCACACACACACACACACACACCAATGTCTGTCATCTGTGTTGTTCTGGTGTCAAAAGCAGTTTATGAATGCAAGATGTCACTAATGATCTGGAAGTCAACATTTTCTGCGAATGAAAATCTGAAAAGTGCAGCATGCATTTGTATTCGGGCCTTTTTGGGTCAATTTCTTGTAGAACCACTTTTCACTATGATCAGCTGGAATCTTTGAGGTATGACTCAAATTTCAGCCAGTTCTTTGACAAATAGATCAAGATGAGTCAGACTGGATGGGGAACAACTAATGAACAGAAACAATTTCTCAGCCAGACTTAAGTCTGCACTTTGACTAGGCCATTGTAACACATGAATATGTTGTGATTGAAAGCCTTCCACTGTAGCGCTGAGTTGAGGATTGTAGTCCTGTTGGAAGTTGAACCGCCTCCATTGATTTTATTTATTTATTTTTATGGTTTCATGTTGGAATTGCTTTGGTGTCTTGCTGTATAGTCTGCATGTACTTAAGCTAACATCCGGAATCGATCCCGTTAGGATTTACTGTAACAAAACAAAATTCCCAGTTCGATCAGTTATAGCACATCTGTTCTATATACTTTTGTGACCTTGTGAATGAGCTGATGTGCAGTGATGTAGGGATTTCAAAAGACAGTTGGTTGGATATGACTGAGGGGTATCCGAGTAAAAGGGGATTGAATGCATATCCACCCTGCACTTTTAAGACTTTAATTTGTGAACATTTGTGAAAAACATGTCTCCTTTTCTATGCAATAGTGTTTTCCTACTTCGAAAAATTAAAAATTAAAAATTCCAATAAAATATGCTTGGGATTCTGGTTGTATAACATAACAGAGTGTGAGAAAGCTCAATATTTTTGCTAGGAGCTGTATCATTTTGAGCTTCTCTTTAACAGAGAAGCACTCGCTGCAGCAACACACCACATTTTACTTCAGAAATGCTGCCTCTTATCAAACAGTGTCAGGAAAGCTCTCTGCAGTTTAGACCAACTATCCAATGAAAACAATCAATGCTTAACAACAATAAAAATTGAAAAAATACAATAAAAAAAGAGCCCAAAGTGTTCAACAGCCAAATTCATTTTTATAAGAAGCAAACTTTTTTCACATAAAATAACGACTTATCCCTGTTTCCAAAATCAGTTATAGTGAAAGAAATGCTAAATATTGTTATAAATTAGTGAAATCAGTTCTAACCTTCGAGCCAGGAGGAGGGGGCAACCCTAGGAAGGCATACACCGTGTTGTCTTCCTTTGCATCAAAAAATGTGTCATAATCCTGCAGGGGGAAAAACATTTTCTTTTTACTTTTTATGTTATTCAATTGCAGAACTATGTTAGATATGTTTTTTTGCTACACCTGCTAATCTAATTCAAGACCCACATTAAAGAGTTACAAATGCATCTTTGCTCACCCCACAGTAGCTCTCCTCATTGAAAATCTGTGGAGGGAGTGGGATGCCGTTGGAGGGCTTCTTCTCCTCTGGGACATTTTGCCTCATCCACATGCGGTTCTGCTCATTGCAGGCAATGTCCAGCTCAGCGTATTCCACTTTCAGAGCCTCCAGGAAGCCGACCACATCTTGCTGTTTCTTTTTGATCTGCAAGGTGGAAAAATGAACAGCTCATGAATCAAAACCTTTTGGATTTTGTTTTGTTTTTCTTCTTTTACAAAAAAAAAGAAATTTTCAGCCTTTGCTTTTCACATTCAAAACATTTTTTTTTAGAGTTGTCCTGTACTTTAACATTTAATATGTGTTTATATTCTGTTGCCTGGTTTCCTGCGTGATCCGTTGGCCATTTTCTCGCATTACCTCACAGCTGAACCGAGTCTCTAACCAACCCCTGCTGGAGATATCAACTCTCCAGCTTAAATATTTCTTAGTTAGTGCTTGGTCATATATCATTTCATCCTGTTATTCCCATCAAACCTGCTTGTCTTATTTACGATTTTGGATTCCACCTGAGCTTAAGATTTTGTACATTTTTCAATTGACTTTTATAGATAAAATTGTTTACTTTCACCCATTTCCCTCTTTCCTGTATTTGTAGAGAAATTATATTTTTGATAAGATGCAGATAAGAACATGAAATGTTCTGAGAACTGGAGTATGTGGTTCAAGGCATTGACTCAGGGGATGGGAAAACAAATGCATGTCAAACTTTCCAGACTGATTGATCTGTGTTAGTCATAATATGGAAAAGCTGAGGTGGATGAACACATTTATTTTCTTCCATCTAGAAAATGCACCATTTTAAAGGAGTGTTAGTTGACAAGTTTCTAACTCATTCAACTCTCACAACAATTTACAAAGTATTTGATCACAAATGTTGAACTATAAGACATAACAGGGAGAACACATATGCTGGTTGAATTACCAATCGAGTTGCATAAAATATATTTAAAGGTAAAATAATGAGGATAGCTTTAAGGCCTCATCTACGGCACAATTCTGGACAAGTAAACAACCAGTTTGGTGGAAATCAAATTCATTTTTCTAACTATTGTGAGAAAGCTGGACTAGTTGTGCTTAAGAGACCTCAAGGAAAGCTCCAGAAAGCAAACTTTCCCTCTTCTCATTAGTAATCACTCAAATAAGTACATAAGCAGTGATTTATAGAAATGTTTATAGAAATAAAAGCAGTCTTAAAACTATAACTGGGGATATTTCTCGGGTCTGAAAAAGAGCCTCCAAGCTCAGACATGAAAAGATTAGGGAGCCCCTGTTCTGGAAGGCTCCGCCTGTTGAATCACATTTACATACGAAATACTTACCCAAGCTCACTCATCAGAAATAAATCTGATCACAAGTCAAGCCAGTTAACTTGCTGAAAGAGCAAATTATCAGGCAAGGCAACAAGCATTAATTTATAGATTTAACCCAGTAAAATCAGAGTGAGTGACAGTCATGTCCAGTTTATGGAGTACAACCTGCAAAGCTCGAGCCAAAGTTAAGATCATTGTGAAAACTTACCGCTGTCGATCCAGAGGAAGTGGCGAGAAAAACTTTGATTACCATTTTTACTACAAACTATGTTGAAGAGGTGGCAGTGCAACAAGAAGGGCCTTAAAGGAGAAGTCTGCCTGCTCTATTATTAGAGCGCACCTCGGACGGAGAAATAACAGTGGGATCGCACACACACACTGACACACATTGCTGGAGGTATTTTTGTCTCCGGGCTCCATTAGAGGCGGATTGGTTAGTTGGCCCCTTAGGGCGCAGCGGCGCATACTGATTGGCAGCTTCAGCTGTCTGTCGGCTCAGGGGGGGGGGGGGGAGGGCAAGTTAGTTTCTAAGTCCATGCTGAGAAGGACAGAAATAGCTGTGAACAACACTGTGGGAGTCACAGTGCTTATTTTAATACGAAACTGTTATTTTTATTTAAAGAGGTTATTTATTTAACTTTATTGGCTATAATCACTTTTTTGTAGCTTAATTTAACTTATATAGGCCTTTTTTTGTTGCTTTGAACTGATTTATTTTTTTTTAATCACACAAGAATACAGAGATGAGGGTAAATGTTGAGTCTAATGTTAGTGTGCTCTATAGCAATGGCGTTTGTGATTTTTTCTTTAATTTTAAGTCATTTTATTTTGTGGTAAAACTGTGTAAAAAAGTTGGTATCTGACTCGGAACCTGATTAAAGGGATATTCTGCTGCGCAAGGACTCTGGACTGTCTTTAATCTTGCCCTGGGTTAATCATAAACACGGTTTGGAAAAACTACACCACAATCTAAATTTCTAACTATTATATATATATATATATATATATAAAGTTAATTAAAGTTTGAATCACATGCTAACTTCAGCTTCGTTATGAGTTCCGCAGCAGGTGCCATGACAACCGGCGTTTTTTAAAAAGTAAAAAATTCTGTTTAGGATTAAACATTTAGATTAGATTCCAACGACATTTAATTAGCATAGACCGATTTACTAAGCTGAGTTGTTTCCGGTTTTGACAAGAAAATTTTTTTCTTATGTTTCACAAAGTGTCAAATTTTTCTTAAAGTTGCATGGATGGGGATCGTGATACAGTGAGCTGCAGTACCAACACCTCCAGGTGGTCCAGTCCCTGCTGTGGTTCTGATGGTCCAGGGTATCCATCTGACCGTGAGGAGACAGCTGACAGGACTCCAGATGATCATCCATCAGCCAAACTCCAGGGATCAAAGCGATCTGGATACAGTCAAGGCAATGCAGGATGTAATTGAGAGTGGGCTACTATTTCTTTCTGTCATAACCAAACGAATTTGCTTTTCCCTTCAGGCACGAAAACCCAAGCGGTCCAGAAGCAAAAAATGAAGCATGAAATCCTGAAGATGCCTCCAATCCGTACCATGCAAGGTTCAAAGTCAGTGAACCAGGCCCCCAGCATGAACTGCATCTGGGCGCTGAAGAGCCAGGTTTGGGATCTGCAGCAGCAGCTCAGTGAAGCCAAGACTGCGAACAAACTGCTGAAGAAAGTCCAGCACCGCCACACGGTGGCGCAGCAGCACTTCAGAGACTCAAATGACGACATCTCCCAGGTTGGATCATAATTTCATCTCTTCAGATTTCTCTTGTAACGCTTCCATTCTGTCAGCTAAGTGTGCCCTATCTAGGTCTGAAGACAAAAAGTAATCATACTCTGAATGCAATTCAAATTTAAAGAGTATTCCTGCATCACCAGCACAACCAATACCAAAGAAACCATATTCCTTCTATGCATGTTTCCAGATTTTAGCCAAGCACAACAATGAAACTAAAGCTCTTCAGGGTTTGCTCCGTGAAACCCGCATGTCCCGTGACAACCTGGGCAGGCAGCTGCAGGCCACAGAAAGAAAGCTGCTCAGCATGAAGGACACTCTACAGCACCTGCAGCAGCTCAGCCAAGACCAGAGTCTACTGGACAGGGAGGAGCTCACCCTGAAGCTGGCCTGGGCCACTACACAGCTGGAGGACAGGGACCGGAAGATACAGGTGCGGAGGTGAACGGTATGGAGGCTTGAGTGAGTTGCTGGGATATAGCTTACTTCAAAGTTGAAATCAGAACGCAGCCCTAAGTTTTTAGTCTTAAAGCATAGCCCTTTTATTTGGTCGTGCATTGCATTTCTTTTTTATCTCCTTACATTTTAGAACATGGAGAGAACCCTTGAGTTGTACCAAGAATCATTCAAACGCCAAATAGACTCGGAACAAAGAAAACTCAGAGAGGCAAGAAAAGCATCTGTCTGTCTGCAAGACCACATCCACCAGCTGACCAGAGAGCTCCAGGTGAGCATGAAATGACTGATATATAGGAATCACTCATAGTTTCTCCATAAGGTTTAATTCAGGCAAGTTTGTTGATAAATCAATCCCAATGATAACATGGCTATTAGTAGTTATTGGTACCTTTTGCAGTATGGGCAGGTACCGGGTGCTGCTGGAAATTGAAACCAGTATCTCTTTCTTTGTATATGAATTTCACTGTTTAAATTGAATTACTGAAATAACTACTGCAATAATGATTCTGTTTGCTGAGATGTCCCTCTTGTCTCCATAGCTATGTATAATACGCAACTTTTGATTTTTTTTTTTCTGAAATAGCTCAGAGAAAAAGAAGTGCAGAAACATAATATTTACTACCACAGGATGGTTAAAGGACACAGCATAAAAGGTAATGAGCACAAATAAGCTACTTTAACAAAGGTTAGTTATGCTTTCTAGTTGCCTGTGACTTTAGCTGCCTGAACTTATAATTGTAGCTAAAGAGAATAAGGTGGTGCAGACGGATAGATCTGTCCAAACATCATCAGAGCTATTGAAGAGAGATGTTTTGGCACATAAGGAGTCTTGAGTAATTAAACATCTATCAAGTTTTGTATCTGCAGGTATGTTGCATTCAGTTTGATCTAATTTGTTGATTTGTGCTTCACCTTATCAAGGAAATTAGATATTTCATGAATCCGTCATGCCTATTTAAAGTTCCTGTGATCATCTAAGCCCTGTTAACCGTTTATCATTTCAGCATTACAACCACCATCTGCAAGAGTGTTGCTTACTGAAAGTCCAGAAAGAAACATTTCTGAAAACACTGTATTATAAGACGATCACCAAGACGTAAGCATTGTGCTGGTTGTAAATTGGGTAGTAAAAGGAATATTTGATTAAGCTGATGTAAAATCTGTTGTTTTTTTTTTGTTTTGTTTTTTTTTCAGGTATTTTTCAAAGAAAATATTGAGAGAAACTATTGGGAAGAAAATCGAGATGAGAGCCTAGAACACCTGGCCGAACGACAAAGAAGCCGAGGCTTTAGAAACTTTACAGCAGTTATAAGAGAAGGAAACAAAAGATGAAATTAATTTGGCCAATGTTTTGGAAACAACTCTGAATGCAACCATGTCAAATAAAAATGAATGCACAGCTCAACCCAGTCAGTAAGAACTTGCATAGTGACACAAGCAGAGTAGATACACAATGACTCCTCAATACACAAGAGAAATCATTTGTGGCGAGATTAAGAATCTTCAAACGGATCATAGCATCTTACAGTCAGTTTTGTCAGATAAAATCTCACTGCAGCGATGAAAGCTTTGTTTTCAAAGGTTTTAAAAAATTACAAATATTAGAATTTCTTATGTTTTGTTTTGACTTTAAAAAAAAGAAATCAGACCAATATTTTTGGAACTAAACAAAAACTACCCGAGTTGTTTTTGTTGGATGTTTCCCAACTTGGAAAATACAAAATTTGGTTTTAATAGTTTATTTAAAAGAAAGAAAGAAAGAAAATGTCACAATTCTATCCAGTTGGTAAGAAATCAAAACATTCATTCAACAAAAATAGAAAACACAATGTTACAATAATAATAAATTAATACTGCAATTGGAGAGCAGTCTTATCTTCGTGTTAAACACCAAATTCATTTCCAAGAAGACGTGCAGGCAGCCGAATCACAGCCGAGTTCTCTAACTGATGGCACTGAGGCCCAGTGTGATTACTTTGTTACAAACCACCAGCCAACAAGTGATTCCCACACCACCTGCAAGAAAAGAACAGCTCTGTGAATTTTTCATTTGCAGGCTTCATTTCCTGTTCCTGCGCCAAGTATGGTTATTCACTGGTTAACATTATATATACCATTTTTTCTCAAGTTGTCATGTTTTTAAAACTGAACAGTATAAAATGATCTCTTATGCAGAGAAATGTACAAATTGAAATACTAAGATGTCATCTTATCCAACATGTTGATCATTATTTAGAAACGAGGACATTAGTTCATAAAAATGGAGCCTCTTTCTGGTGGTTTCTGTAGCCCCATATATAGTCATGATCGACCCTGGAACATCTTGAAACTGATCAAGTGTTATCAACTGATAAAATGTAAAAGAAAAAAAAAAAAAAAAGCTTTAAAGTAACATTTCACTAACTAGTCATCGAGACATGCATATCAATAATAACCATTGTGTAAATTGTTTGGCTTATCTTATATTGGACACAACAAAAACAGCAGACTGACAACCTGCCACTCCTGTTGGGAAAGCCACGAGTCGCTCCACAGGAGCGATCCATTTACTGGGGACCACAGTCACTGGATCAGCGTAATACTTCCATATCAGTGAGACCATCAGAGCAGCCTGACAACAGAAAGGAATACATATTTGAAATTGTAAATAGTTCCTACATTGCTTCTATTTGCAGCTTGTCATACTAATTTTACTGTGTTTATTTTCTAACAAAGTTTATAAGTTTAGATCTTACAAGTGGTCAGAGCAGCAAGATAATTTTTTGTACAACTTACAGATATATTTGTGTTACTGTTTGTATTGTCCACCTACCTGCAGTATGTAAAAGATGATGTTCACAACCCATTTCATTTTGGCTTGTTGAGCGGTTCTCGACTGCACTGCAAAGGTAAATCAAACATGCAATCATTTGCAGTATATGTATCCATGTGTGCTCAGTATTAGAACAAAATTAATTAATATAAGTATGTAGGTAGTGATGTAATACCACTATAGGTGCCTTTTATCTGAAATTGCCAAACAATGTATTTCAGACAGAGAGTAAATAGAGAAAATATATGCATGCAAACATTCTTGCAAGAGTCACTAAAAACATATTCATGATGCCACATGCTCATTAATTTAGCAGTTGTACAAATATTACGGATTTGGCCAGGCAAATGTCGACTTCTGGTTTGTTTGTGAGACGGTTCTTAGATTGTCTGCATTGGACAACAGGCAGCTGTTGCTCCCAGCAAATACTTTGTAAACATCAAACCTCCAGCCACTTCCTGCAGTTGCTGAATTCTGTCTGTTGCGGCAGATCTAAACAGCTGTGAAAGACTGAGCACGTCCCCATTTGAGTCATATGTGTTTAAAAAGTGAATTTTTTCAAAGGTTGAAGTGCAGTACCTCACAAAATTATTTATACCCCTCCATATTTTTCACGTCATATTTTAACCAAAAAGTCACTAATTGGGATTTTTGAGATAAATCAGCACAAACTGGCGTGCTACAGTGAAAAGGATGGAAATAAGATACGTCACTGTTATAGCTAGTAAAAATCCAAGAAGTGCACCATGCATTTATATTCAGGCCGCTTGAGCGAATACTTTGTGAAATCATTTTCACAGCCATAGTTGCATTTTTAAGTGTCTCTGACAGCTCTGCACATCCAGAGAACTCAATTTCTGCACAGCCTTCTTTGTTGAACTACTTCACATTTTTCTATGTGTACAACAGTAGATTTTCCAACCTAAGCTGTACTGGTAATAATAAACATAAAGCACGTACTACATTTTGCTAGCTTATAAGAAAGATTCTTGCTGTTCAGTAATATGATGTACCTCTTGAATTGGTGAACATGTGTGTTCGTTTTTATCTTACCATGTGTCTTAAGCTTATCTGTAGTTTTGTTAATTTTACGCTCCAGCCTGGCATATCTTGCAAACTCATCCATCATGCTTATGGAGGACTGCTCCTTCTTCATCTGCTGGATTTCAGTCCTCATCTCACTCTCCTGCTCGGCGTCTTTCTGCACCATCTTTGTCAGCTTAAAAGAAAAACAAAAACTGTTTTACTGAGTACAATAAAGGGATGGCTTTTAATGTAGGGGAAGTAGTTAATGAGTGACAGTATATAGGCAACAAGCACTATATACCAAGTTTTTCAAGTGCTGCCAATTTGACAGCCTTTCTCCAATTTATGCTGTTATAACATAATAATGTAAAAAACAAACAAAAAAAAACACTCATGACCTATCGGAGCTGCTTGATTGGTGGAAGAACGGAGATTTATTGAACTACATTTATTTAAAAAGTTAAAATTTTCAAAATTAATAATAAGGTCCCTAAATAACTGTCACAGCAGCAAATATATATACGACAATATAATGCACGGAGCAGTTCTGAATATTTTAAATTAAGTGATGTGGTTAGTAGAGTGGCTGAGACTAAATACAAAGGATTGTGCAAAACAGCTAAGGTACTACATTTTACACGTTAGGGTCGTAACTTGATCGTTGTGGTGAAAACTCCACCCGGCCTTCAGCCAGATAAGCCTCGTTTTGTTTACGGCAAGCTAACACTATTAGCTTTGCTAAATGCTAAGCTAGCAGCGTCTAGCTTAGCATTCTATTTAAAAGAGATTATAATATTATATAAATGCGAAACAGTGCTCAAATCCGCAGTTGACATAGACAAAGCAGAACCCCCTACTTACGAAAGATGAAATGCTAGGCAGGAGTATTTTCATGAGATTGCAGAGAAACACGGAGCCCAGCACCAGGAACCATGCGCAGCCTGTCGCCATGTTTCCACCAGTGTTATTCCCACAGCTATTCAGCTCACTATTACAGGTGGAGCTGATAGACTACTTTTGTACTATCACATATGTTTCACTAATCTCTGTTCAACAAATAAGCACGGGCGTGCAAGCAAAATTATGCGGCATATCCCCCTCTTGAGGGTGCTTTATATCTGTGCAAATATTGTTTCAGGTTTTGCCACATTTCTCTTGTGATTTGCTGATAATCATTTCATGTTATCTAATCACTAAGGCCTATACCTTCACGGTGGTTTTTCTGCTTCCTTTTTTACTGACAACACCCATCGTGCTTTCCTCATAGTTAAACACTAATAGTTGATTGGCACACCGTCCTACCCACACAGGTAAAGATGTTGTGTTTCAAAAATATGCTGCCTGAACCTCAAAGCCAATCACTGGGAACATTGGGCGGAGATTCACTCTTCCTGCTAGGTTGGTAGGACAAGGGATAAAATACATAAGGAGCGAGGGATCCAATCCAGTTAAAGCTAGTTCTGGTACTGGTTGAACCTTAAATATAACGTTAGCACACTTCCCTGGAAGTATAGGGTTGAGGTGTACGTCTAACCTGCAGGCTTTCTTAGTTTTATCGGAACAAGAAGGTTGAAATTTTCCTTACTGTAGCTGTCTCGCCAAAACAAACCGAGAATGGGACGGAAAAAGGTAAGCTTAAATGTGTGTATAAGCATGTCTAAAGTATTTTAGCTGTAAACATTGTACAGGCATTTGTATCTGAAGCTGGGATGGAGAAGGATAAATGTCCTCAGTGTTCAATGGTTTTACATGGAGTCCAAGTCGGATGTGCTCAGGTCTGCCGTGTTCACAATGTGAAGTGGCGCCTTTTTACTCAGCCCAGGGATAACACGCCTGCACAGCCAAATAAGTTTCGCTCCCGGAGCCACATATCCTGATAGCAATGCACGCTCAGGCAGGTTTCTGAACTGCTTGGCTACTTCATAGTCCTGTGTGTGTGTGTGTGTGTGTGTGTGTGTGTTGGGATTAAACAAAGGGGTGTTAACTATCGTCGAGGAAGCATACAGGTTGCGACCTCAAGGAATTTCAGTCGTGAAACACTGTATTTTAAGCTTAGTTTGAGCTTCGTTGGGTAGATTTTGCAGCGACTAAATGTGGTGGCGGGTTTTCTTCATATTTACCGCTTTACATTGCTTGGGATATTAACCTTTGACTGTCCTCAGTATTAAGATGGTGTGCGTCACTCCCGAGGCGGTCTGTCTTTTCTTTATGGATCATCATGGCAGCTGATGTGTCCAAGAAAACAGCGACACAGCTGGCCGATTCCATTGGGTCTGAAACCCAATACTGCAAAAAATAAAATAAATTGCATATTTGGCTTACCTTTAAAATGTGTTTTTAGGCTACCATTATTGATGCTTTGAAATCCTTAACCCCGAATCTGAGCTAGAAACGCCTAGGACCTTTTGTCACATTTCGTACAGATTGCATAAATTCTTGATCAGCTAGCGGGAAAGAGAGGTGCCCATCCCCCTTTCCACCACACACCCACTTTAGCTCACTCATGAATGGTTGTTGTTCAGTGCTTGTTAATTTCCCCCACCCCTTCTCCACCTCTCTGACTTTTCACAGGGAACTTCCAATGCAGATGCAGCTGCAGAGGTGAGTATGTCTTAAAAAAAAAAAATCTAAGTGATGACATAATGTAGTGATGGGATCAGAGTTTAAATGCTGTAGCCAGAGGGGGTTATGCACTTATAGGCTTACGTACTGACTGATTTACAGTGCTTAGAAGAAATGCAAAAAACATATTGGTGTGTGTGTGTGTGTGGTTTATTTATTTTTTTAAGCAGTTGCATTTTCTTTCTGTTTTAACACATAATTAAATTTATTAATGTCCTAATCTCTTTGATGCTAATTATTGTGGATAGGATAATTGTTTGCTGACTTTTAAAGAACTTGTTAAATCCCAACTCATCAATATTTTATTTAACTCAGAATCTTTGTTTTGCAGCCAAGACGGAAGTCTCAAAGGCTGTCGGAGGTAAGCTTCACTATCCTTTTTGAGACTGAGAATTCAACTTGTATGCCCGGCCATTGCAATGCATTTTCCTTTTCCCATGTTAAATTCTGTGCATTGCAGAAAGAGACCCAGGAAAAGCCACAACCAGAGAAGACAAAGGTAGAAAGACGCAGCTTTCCAGTGGTGGTGGTTAAACCTTTATTTTTTGTTTTGTTTTGCACATTACCAGAACTGTGGTCAGAAGGAGTTCATGAATCTCCATAGCTCTGACAGATTTGGTATCAACATGGATCAGGGGTAATTGGTAACACTTTATTTGAAGGGGGTTGAATAAGACTGACATGACACTGTCATAAACACCTGTCATGAACATCAATAAGCCTTCATGAATATTTATGACTGTTGTCATAAAGCGTCATTCGGTAAATTATGACACTTTTAATACGTAGTAGACATTATTCAAAATGTCTTTGTTATGACAACTTGACATTAACCAGGAAATCTGTTTAAACTTTACCTTTAATAACATAAAGTTACCTAATTTTTAAAGTGCAATCAGTAATACTTTTATAACAAATTTATATCAGTAATGATTTCTTGGTTAATGTCAAGTTGTCATAAAGACATTTTGAATAATGTCAACTTTGTATTAAAAGTGTCATAATTTACCGAATGACGCTTTATGACAACAGTCATAAATATTCATGAAGGCTTATTCATGTTCATGACAGGTGTTATGTCATGTTTATGACAGTGTCATGTCAGTCTTATTCAACCCCCTTCAAATAAAGTGTTACCGGGGTAATTCATATGCATTCACGCTCCTAAATCTACGCTCTATTGTCAGATTACAGTTGTCCAATTTACATGCAAATAAACACAGCCACGTTACATAGCCCCCTCAGTAGGTCTACTGGGGTTAAATGTAATTGAGTATGAAAAAATGTTGAGTTTAACTGAAATTACCCTTTTTATCAAGAGACATCCAGGTTCCAGAGAGGCATTGTTAAGACCAAAAGTGGCGCTGGTTGTCCTGCACTCTGAAACTTTCTCATTTGTAGTGCATGGCCTACCAAACGGTGGTATTGTCGTTTTCTTTGCTTCCCACAGTGAAAAATAGGTCTTATTTTTAATCACAGAAATCTGAAAATTGTGCTGTGCAATAGTATTTAGCCTGCCTTTTTTGTTCTCAGATTCCTTTAGATAAAATCCAGTAGAACTTAAATAAAATTCATACAGAAGTCCCCTAATTGGTAATTAAGCCATTTTCTTGGTCTATATATGTGAAACTCTATGTATGATGGAAAAACTAACAATGCATGAACACACCGTACCTATAATGAAATGTCGCATCCTTGTAACAGGAGGGACAGAAAAAATGTAAGGCACAGCTTTCTGCATACCTGTTATCTATTGTTCACTTTCAAATGTCTATATCTTACACTTCACAAAATTGTCCACGTCGGACCTGTGGGGCCAGATGTGAAAGCTGGCCCCAGCACACAATGCTTTTGGTCTGAAAAATGGGGAGTGTTTGTTTCATCAGGTTAAAGGGTGGTCCTTTGTGTCTCACAGCTGTAGTGTGATCAATTTTATATCCTATACAGACCTTGTTTGTTATTGACTGAGCATGCTCAGGTGAGATCCGATGACTGGTATTTAAAGCAGATTTTGACCAAATATATTTGGTCAAAATCTGGCCATCAAGGTGCAACGCAACCCTTCTAGTGGAAAAGCAAACAAGACCCTGGTTCTTATAGCTGTGATTGAAAAGATCATGTTATTTTTGTTTTGTTTTTTTTCCCCCAATGCCTTGCATTGATGTTAATGACAGGCTCCTCCTAAGACCAAGAAGGTAAAGGAGGCAGCAAAGGCCAAGGCTGAAGAGAAGAAAGAAGAAGCCCAAGCAGAGAAAGAAGTTCCTGCAGAAAATGGCGAGGCCAAAGCTGAGGAGGTACGGTAGCACTGGTGCCTAATGGGCCTGGTTTCATAGTAAGAACAAACTGCTAAACATGTCTGCTTTATTCATTGACAGGCTGCTGCAGCAGATGGTCAGGCAGACGAAAAGGAAGACAAGGCTGAAGAGGATGAGAAAGCAGAGTAGCGGAGATGGTTTAATGTACTACTTTTTGTTGTAAAATGCAGAGAATATTTTTATCAGCTATTTTCTTAAGACGGCATTGTTTTTAAGGATGTGATTGCATTTTTAAAATACTTAAATGTCTGTTAAATTTCCAAAGCTTTTGTGAAGGGACCCTTTCTGTCATTGTGTTGATTGTATTTTGTGGCATCATACATTTTTCAGGAGAGAGAAAGAGAGAGTTTGTTCAGAGGGACCATATCACCGGTACTATTATGGATTCTCAAAATGCTGTGAGTGGAATAATGCTGTGGAAGCTAAAGCATTATTTTGTGTTTGTACTTTGGTGCTCAGCTTTCACTTTTTTTTTGTTTTTGTTTTTACCCCCATCTGAAACAAATGTTAATTTTCTGGTACAGTAGTAAACAACGGTGTAACACATTGCAGAGTTAGTTGTTTATCCTTTTAGGATCTTGGGTTTGGGGATTTTATCTTTTCCAAATGCATTTATGTTATAGGTGGTATAAAATGCCAATTAAAATGGTTGTGTTTGCAAAGTTGTTTTGTTTTTTGTTGTTGTTTTTAACTTGGCCTTCATTCATAATGTTAACATGAATAGCAACACCCTCTACCTACAGTGAATCCTGCATCTTTTCTACACTGGGACTACAGCTTACCCCATGTTGTAGAGCCACAGCTTTCTATCAGAAAACTATGCAATTTTCTATTAGAAAGCTGCATAGAAGTCACTTTTTTTTATTATGGCAAAGTCCTGCCATAATTTTGAATTGATAAATCACTCTTAACATAAATTATGAGTTTGTTGATTGCTTCACTAGCACATAGCCCACATAATATTTTCAGTAGGTCTAAGGTTAAATTTTCTCAGAGACCTTCCAGCCTTCAAAATCTATTTTTATATGTATATAGAATAATTTTCCCAACTGGGCCCAATTTTCAGCCATTTGACCCAAATTCTTACTCTGTGGCAAAAAGGAAGTAAGTAGGTTGCTTAGGAAAAACCCTAACTAATATTGGTTAAACTGGCCAAAAACTGAAAGATGTCACAAAATCCATTGTCACTGTCAACAGTGACGTTAGGGTTTTGTTAACATGGACTCGAGTAACAACCAAGAAAGAAATGATCGTTACTTAAAATTTCTAATCATTTCTGCTTAGAAAAGTGGTCAAATATCCAAACAGAATGAAGTCAGTAGCTCTTGACTAAAGAAAGTTTGTGGTTTCTCTGGAAAACGTAAGGCACATTTAACAAAAAGTATGTGTGAGTTCCAGAAAATCCACAAAGTAATATTTATGCACCTTTTACTTAAATGATCAAAATTACTTTAAAATGGGTGAACTAGTTTGCATTGAATTTTATTAGTGCAGATAATTTTTTTATTTATTTTTTTTTTACAAAATTAGGTTTTAATATGCAAGGCAAAGATCAGCCTTCTTACTTTCATGTGTGTCCGTTGTGTCAGTTGACTTTTTTTGTATGGCGCCTATTCTCGACAAGTGTCTTAATTTAATCTTGAAATTTAATTCATTTCAAGAGTTCAAATAGAAGACAAACAACCAAGATTATATTACACAGAGATATGGTAAAACAACAAAAAAAAGATAATTGAAAAATTCTACTTGTTTCACAAAGTCAAAAATCTTTTTTTTTTTTTTATTCCAGCATTGATGTCATTTTGCTTTGATGAATATTGCTTATAGCTAATGAAAATACAACTTTTAGTGGCTTTGAACCATTGGGAAAGGCTCCAGTTCTTATTCTTTTTAACCCACAAAAATACAGCTGATATTCTTTGTTCAGTTGTGGCTTAGCACAAAGTATCTGACAGTTACACCCATGTCAATGGATAAATATCCATATGAAGCATTAAGTTCAGCTGCTGTCCATAGAGCACAGAATGTTATAAACTTTTCAAGGCTGCACTGGGGCATTTTTTCTATTTTTCATTCCTCTCAACTTTCGATTTCTCATTTTCATTGTGTGAACAGACAAGTTCGTTTGGCAACAGACATGTCCTCTATAGAGGCTTGGTGTTAGTTAGTGACTGTTCTGGAAAATTTCAAATTTCTGTTTTACTTTAATTTGGGGTGAGGTGAGTTGCAGCTCACCTCACCCCAAAATGATTAAAATCAATAGAAATAAATTGGAAAACATTACGATGTGTTATGCATGTATGAGTAATTTCATTTTTTATTTTAACGGGGTTTTTTTGTTTTGTTTTTTCGTTAGGAGGAGCATTTTTTTTAACTGCAAGCCACAGTAATCAAAATTATCAAAAATAAATGAATAGGAGAATTTTTTTTAATATACAAAGCTAAAGCTAAAAACGACAAGCTTGTAGCATTTATTAATTTATTTTTAGAACACATTGTATTCACACTTGTTCGCTGGTTTGACATAAGAAATGTATATTTTGATGAAGTGAGCTGGCAACCGTTATCGGTGACGTCACATGCACAGCTCACGACCTTGCTATCAGAAAAGGGGGAGGGCGTAACATTAATAGCACTGTGTTTATCAATTTTAAAATGTGTGTTGTCCTTTGAAAATATAAAAATAATTAGTCCAATGTAGTTCTGTATTTTTACAATGATGTAATATAACTGTGGCTAGCCACCAAGCTAACGCGCGGTGGTGTCTTTTGTTGCTGGAGTGCTCCTCCCTCCCTGCCCCCTTTTTCCTGTGTTACTCCGCCGTGGCGGAAGTAAGTTGTATCGCCGAGGCCTCATCCTTCCAATGGCGACTGCAAACAGGCTGAATAGAAAGCGGGAGCAACCGTGGAGGGGGGTCAGCGACGTGTAACCGAAATTAAATAAATATATCTGATTTTTCTTTAGCAACAAAGTTAGTCTGAAGATCACTCCACCTCTCCAAATCACGGCCGTTTCCATGGCCAAAAGTCGGAACATTTCGCTCCTTGAGTCGGGTAAGCCGCAGAAGTAAACCCCAATTGATGGCTTGATTTACACCAATATCGCTCGTGCTAATTGATTCTTGGACTGATTTCCAGGCTATTAATGTACTCACTGTTCCGTTTCAGAGCTCTATTACTTGATTTCTCGTTTCCTAACAACGGGTCCGTGTCGGAGAGCGGCTGAGGTGAGCTGGCGTGCTTTCACTGGCACACTTTGTTGTATTTCGACATAGTTGACGAGCACTTGATAATAGTTAATATACAGGCACCCTAATCTGGATTGCTTTTCAATTCCTCTCCAGGTCCTAGCAAGTGAACTCGAAGAATATCAGGTCTGTATTTTGGTTGTCTCTGCTTGCTAGGTAACTGCTAACTAGCTGCTTCGCTGTAGGCTGACTGTGCTTATAAACTTGGTGAACTCTTTGGACTTTTTAATATCCCGTTACGTCCCACTTATTTGACATCATCCGGTTTAAAGACGCGTGTACCTGCTTCAATTTTTAAAGTAAATCATCTTTGATAAACTGTTTTCGACAGCTCTTACCGGGAAGATTGGACTGGCTGGGAAATGAACACCCTAGAACATACGAAGATGTGGTAAGATTTAACTTTGTGATTTCAAGTTCAGTGCCGATGCTTGTTATTGTCTTGTGACAGAGGGGGCTGCACGTTCTGTGCTTGTTTACGGTCTTTGTTCGGTTTCCATCTGAACCGCTGATGTAGATCTTTAACTTTTAATGAACTGTAAAGCCTAACTTGTTCGGAAAACCTTAACTGTTTATGGTTAACTTTAGAATGGTCTACCAAAAACCCGCATTAGGATGGGAGTTTAATGTTTTTTGTACCAGCTGTCGTATTGCAGTTAGGGTGGGTTGTTCGGCTTGTCGCTTTGCTGAGACTGCTTTCTCAGCCAATCACAAGCCGAGTTTCTTTGTCTCTGCGTTATTTTGCATGTGACCTGCGCTGTGATTGGTTCTTTAAAGAAAGAGAATATTTGCATACAAACCACGCCTTGAGGAACAAGGGGTGAGAAGTGCATGAAAAAAAATACTTTGTCTGACACCTAACTTGTTATAATGCAGACTCCAGGCACAAATTAAACGTCTAAAATACTGGAGAAAGCTTTTGGTATGATTTTTTTGATTATTTAACAACAGACAATAGTCTTATTTAAAAATACTAAGGTTTATTTGTTTCCAATGTTGAGATATTTGATATAAACAAATCTTATAGATCCGTTAAAAGTATTGGTAAACAATGTAGTTAAAAAATGTTGAAAACATTTGTATAGACCCATGGCACACTTATGTTTATCTTCCAAAAATCCATGCATCTGTGCTGCACATGTTGGCAGGAAATGGCTTTGGAAGCAATGCTAACAAGGAGCTTGAAATAAATAATGCATGTAGACTGCCTTGCTTTTCAATAATTTAATAATAAATTGCCTATTTCATCAGGATTTTACTTAATTCCCCTTTGGGATTAATAAATCCAGGTTCAAACTCAAAACTGAGTAAGTGCCAGAGTTGGTTTGAAGGTGTTTTATCAGTGACTCAATTGACTAGGTTCTATAAGATAACTTTTTTTTTTTTAATCCCTTGGCATTACAGACTGAGTTTTCGTCCATTATATTATAACTAAGAATGATCTGAAACACATAAATAATTTGTAATTGTCTCTTTGATTGCATTTGTACTGTATAAATTTAATATTTTCATAGAAATCGCATTTATTATTATTTTTTTTATTGAAACAAAACAAACAAACAAAAAAAGTGAAAACTGCTGTTTGTAGATACCCTGTGTAAAGAGGCATGGGATAACATTTATTATGATACTATAAATAAGAATTGGATTTTATGAAAAACAAAGCTTGAACTATTGTTGCAACTCTCAAAAACGTGTAGCTATAGCTTTGGACTGGTAAAGTTATGTAAGCTGTTCCCACCGGTAATATTTACTGCCGGTAATGTCAGACAATAGTGAATAAAGGTTGATCCAAAGCAGGAGCCGAACAAATATTTTTCAATTTTATGAAAACTAAAACTACAAACGGTATGGTAAGAGGACCTGGTCCTATGTATGTCAGTCAAGTTTGCAGCTGTACGCCATGTATAAGCTATTGTGAAACAGCGTTTGGTACAAGTATGGGACTTGCTTATAGAGTTTACACTAAAATTCAACAGAATTGTGGAAATATGCTCCTAGCTGAATAGCGAAATTTCACTGCTCTTGTTGTGTTTGCCCTGACAGGTTGCTGCCAACAGACATGTTGCACCCGACCATTTGCTACAGATATGTAAGCAAATTGGACCACTCCTCGATAAAGAGGTCCCATCGTGTGTCCCAGGTGTGCACTCTCTCCTGGGGTCTGGAAAGCAGTCCATGCTTCGGACTGCGAAAGGTACAGGCTTTGTGTATTTTTATGCTCAGGAATGTGAGACGGCGTTTTTGTTACTTTAGACCGCATGAGGAGTTCAATTTGTTTCCATAAAACATTTGTTCAAGCAGAGATTGTTCAGCAGTTGTTTTTTCATTTGTTCATTTGTGAGGAGTGATACCGAGACATCTGTTCCACTCACTCATCTGGCAGTCGGCAGAAGCACATCATGAACTTTCTGATTTTCAGACTGTGACGGTGTGCAGCTCAAAGCTTCATCATATGCAGCCCTTCATCGGGGCAGACCACCAGAGAGGCCTTTGAACCAGAAGCAACCTCCACATCAGGGTAAGTCCCAGTGGTGTGGCAAATGAAACTAACTAGTAGCATATTTGCTGAGAGGTGTTCCGTTCATCTGCTGTGATTTTGTCATTCCTTTATTTGTGGTACTTTGAAGTTTAATATTTTGATGATGATTTCATTGTAGTGCTGTTTTATTTTAAGCTCACCGTTTGTCTGCCACAATAAAGCCACCTTTATCACGTGATGAAGTGTTGGGCCATAATTTTGACATAAAATTTGTTCCATTTAATTTAGTGGCGAGATTCCCTGATGTTACAGAGTTTCTAATCTTTTGTGCATTGAGGGCCTTATTTTCTGTGCATTCTTGTTAAACCTGTTTGACGCACCTGTAGCAGTGCTTCAGCTCTGAAACCTATCCTGCTATGAGAAAAGTAATGCATATATTTGGCTCTAGGGTATTTGGGGTGTTTTACACGTATGAAGTTACTATTTACGGCTTCTGAGAATGTGTCTCCCTCCACACTTTTTAATGCAGATATTTTTTTTTATTTTCTTTCCCAGGCAAATATGAATAAGTATAAACTAAAACGGTTTGTTTGGTGTTTGTGCACACCTTACTGTAACATTCATCACGCCCACTGTGTGTTGTTTGGTTAAGAACTTGGGGCCTGAGCCATAGCTTAATAATTTGTAACAAAAACATTTGAGCTTGACAACAATGCTATCTTAATTTGTAGGTGAAACAGAATTTTGTTTGACGAGCTGTATTGTTTGGAGGCACAATGGCCTACTTTCAGAATCTGTTGTAAAACCAGAAATTACTGCCACTGATGTTTGTTGCATTAGGAATATCTTCAGTCTATGCAATCAGTGCACATCTTAAGGTGGTGGGCCATCAGTTGTGTGGAGGTTCTCGCTTATCTAATAACTCAACATACCAACACATGTTGAATGAGGCTCATAATGTCAGCACTTTTTCAAATCTTACAATTTCTATCTCTGTGCTCCGGTGTGTTTTATTAACAGTGAAGGTACATCGAGGGAGGGAGCTGACCGGAGTGCAACGTTTCAGCTCCATCTGTCCTGTCAGCACATATGAGCACATGCGTCTGCATCGGCGGATCCTGGGACATCTGTCTGCAGTGTATTGTATCGCATTTGATCGAACCGGTCTCAGGATCTTCACAGTAAGATGGAAGCACTCGTCCTAACTGATAAAATATTGGCAGCCTGACTGTTTTCTACATTAGGGATGTCCAATGGTATGCAGATGAAAACTACATACCATACACTTCTGCCTCTTTATGTCTACCAGTTGTTCAAGCAAACACCCACTGGAGTTTGTGTGGGATTTCCTTATGTTTCTAATTGTATCTGACTCCACATGTACCGCTGCATCTTTCAATGAGCTCTCCTCTCTCTTGTGGCAACGCTTTTATGCATATCAGTTTGAGGTGCTTTGTCATTTCCAAGCATATTTTGATATGACCAATTTTGCTTGTAACATTTTATTCCGGTTCCAGTTGAACATGTGTGAACAAACGTACAGCAACAGCAATTCTCCTGCTTTAAAAAGTTAGGGTTTTGCTTTAAACGCTCATAAAATGTAATTTACTTTGTTTTGGCTGCTCTCGGTACAGCTCTATCACAAACAGAAAATTGTTGGGGGATTATTTATTTATTTATTTATTTATTTTTTTTTGAGACCAGTGGTATTTATTTGGAGAGGAAAAGGGCAAAGAGAGAGAGATAGACGAGGATTTGGGGATGGAACTGCAGCAAAGGTGCCAAGGTTGGAAATCAACCTTCAGACAGCTGGGTCGAGTGCTAATAGAACTAGAAATATCCTTTATTGTCCCACAATGGGGAAATGTCTTTGCAAGAGCAGCGAAGTGACGGGTAATAACAGCAGAAAGCCATGGCTTGCTTCTGTTTATGGGGTGTCCGCTCTACATCTACAGGATTCGTCTTCCATGTCGAGTGATATTTGAAAATAGACACTCACATGGCAGAGAGCTGAAACATCCAATACACTCCCTCTTTTACTGCGAAGGTGACTGTAAAGGTTACAAAAAAAAAAGATGAAAATTGTGAAGGAAAACCAATTTCTTTGTGAAGTACGTGTCTGGATTTTGCACTGCAGTACATGTATTGGAAGTCGTGTTTAATCTGGGACTCCGATATCAACCGTTTAAATAGTTCTTTCTCAGGACATCCCTAATGCATGTTGTGGTGTGCTGCTAAAATCTTTTCTACCTGATCTCTGTTTTACCACGTGTCCTGAAGCAGAAATAACTTGTGTCTTTAAGGGCTCAGATGACTGTTTGGTGAAGATTTGGTCTTCGCTCGATGGAAGGCTTCACTCAACATTGAGAGGACACTCTGCAGAAATCACAGACTTGGCTGTCAACTATGAAAACACACTAATTGCTGCAGGAAGCTGTGACAAGACCATCCGTGTGTGGTGCCTTCGTACCTGTGCTCCTATGGCTGTGCTGCAGGGACACAGTGGATCCATTACCTCCCTTCAGGTAAAGAAATGGGCAGCAATAAAAACACCCTGTTATTTATCAATTGGGACTTTCTCCCGTTGTAAAGATAAGAGGAGGGCAGGTTAGGTATGTCGAGGCATTTTTAATATCTAGTTGATGATTTGTAATGCTTTCGAGACTGTATTAAAACTGTTCCTGCTAGGTCTGTTTATTCTCACAGGTGAGCCTTTCTCTTGAGATGGCTCACCTGGAACATTGCGCTATGGTTGTGTTCCATCAGAGAACGGGGTTAGACTTGAAAGCTGAAGAAGAGGAAGGCAAAATGGGTCAGAACATTTTTTTTAAGTACAATGCGCACTACAGTGAGTCAGTGAAAGCTACTTCTGTTTAAATGGTTGTTCTGGCTAAAGTGGAGTCCTAAAACTGAGTCCTAAAAGGAACCGCTTGTATCGAGGAAATAAAGCTCAGACATCTTAAGACATGACTTTTAAAAAGGAAAAATGTTTTTAGGATTTAAGGTTTGTGCTGTAAGATACCAGTGTGATTTAGACTTAAAGAGCATAAATAAAAAAAAAATCTAACACAAATTTCATATAACTTCATACAGTTTGAAGGCGTATATTTGTTTAGATTATTCCTGGTTACATAAGACGTGGCAGAATGCCTTTATTGTTGCACTCAGTCTGGTCTCTGTCAGCTGTTGTGTTGCTGCTTGTTTTCTCTTTTATCAGAAGGAGCCCGGTTGCTACATACTGGCCGATCTTCTGGTGAACGTTAAGTTTCTTTAGATCAGGTTCTCCAACAAGCAAAAGTTGGAAAATGTTCACACATTTCACCAACACGTACATTGGTATGTCATATGCTTCAGTCAGGCAGGGTAAAGAATTGCGTTTTCAACAAGTTGACATTTGTTATGTTTGTGCTAACCTGCTTTTTATTGGTCAGGTGTATTTATTTGCAACTCTCACTGTTCTCTTGCTTCACTGCTGCAGCTGACCTGCCTACGCAGTGTTTTTTTTTTTTTTTCTTTTTCTTTTTTCACCAGGGTCGGGGGGGCGATATAGCTATATTAGATTGTTAAAGATTTTAACTTGCTGTCATCCTGCCAAAGCAGAGAGATTGGAATGTAGTCAATACGTCATTTTCTGTCCATTTTTTTTTATTCCAAGACTTACCTTAGTGTTGCTCTTCATCTGTTAAAGGAAAATGAATTGTGACACATGCTTCTTACTGTAATGTCTTTTGCCAAAGTGTCAGAGCAAATCTTTGTGAGATGAATCGGATATTAACCAAATATTTTAGAGGTATTTTTTTCCTGGGAACTACAACCAGATAAATAAGTTACAGCTTTCTGCATATTGATTGTGTTAGCAATCAATGTGCTAACACACTTTACAAAATAAAAAAGTCTTGTAGAAATACAACAAACGCCACAGTACTTTATAGAGCATTGCAAACCATGTTTTGTTTAGTAAAGCCCCACAACTCAGTTCAGTTATAGCAAGTGTAAAAGTTATTTGAAGACATTCAAGTATTGTTTGATTGCATAAGACTACAACATATCTAGAATTTGATTTTTGTCTGTGATTTGTGAAATACCTTTTATTTAATCATACTATGCAGTAATGAAATGTCACCCACATATGACTGAATAGGTTGACAGACTTCCTATAGATTGAAGTCTGTCAATATAATATACCAATATACCCTGCTAGTCGGACAGTACAGTCTTTTCACCATGCGACATGTTTCTTGATTGAGCAGGTCAGTTGAGGTCTTGTTTTATTTGAAAAACAGCTCCGTTCAGCTTTCACTTCCTCTGGAGTTACTGGTGTAAAAACTTAACCAAATGCAGAAGCCCTGATCCTCATATTTAACAAGTAAACCAAAAGCCTTTTTGTTGGTGTTTATTAGCCAAATTTTGAAGGTAGGTGTTGTAGTGAGTTGGGTGCTGTGATTGTCAGGTCTACCAGTTTTATGAAATGAGATACTCACTGCTTTTTAGGCACTCCAGAAAGCGAAATGAACTTTATGCTCATCTCTGATGACCTGAGTCTGGATTTTTCAGGGGGGGTTTTTCCACCCGAGCTTAGTGGGACGTTAATGTTCAACCCTCTATTATTGAGGAAGTTTCTCTGCATAAAATAACTTGAGTATTCACTGTACCGACCCGCATTTCTTTTGTTGTTAGTTTTCACCTTTTGCAAAGGGCTCCAAACGTTACATGCTGTCCACTGGAACGGATGCTACTGTCTGCTTCTGGCAGTGGGA